AAGGCTTCTTCGGACAAACACAATAAAATATTAAAAAATAATAAAATTCTTAAAACGTTTTTTTTTAATTTCTTATTACCTGTTGACAAGTTGAAGTGTTCCAAAACATCACACCCCATGTAACTATTAAAACCTTGTGAACCGTACTTGGCACGTAATACAGCCATATTGAATTAAATATGAGTTTCTAGTAATATTTAGCAGCTCCTTAAACGTTCTAACATTAACCGGGATTCCGCAAGATAAAACTGTCAGATTTAGAACCTATAGGGCCGCAGCTATGATATTTACACTGAGGCAAGTTGGGGACATACTAATTTAACACTAATAAATGCAAATAGTTGCAAAAAAAAATTTTGTAATTTAAGATTTTGACATTTCTTCTACAGTAATAAATATGTAGTGATAAATACAAGACAACATACTGGTACTTACCTTTGGCTTGCAAATCCATCACAAATATAAAGTAAACATACATCTATAAAAATTTAGAAATAAGTCCACATCATGAAATTAAACAACACGCGTGAGCATTAGTTACCCTTGAACAATAATCATGCAAATATTTTATCTAATTCATAATAATGGGAACTAGTGTTCGACCAGCGGTTGAAATTCAATCGTTTAAATTAGGGGGAGTTGAGGGGGACTGAGCTGAGCCGAGTTGAATTTAATTGAGTATTGAAGTGAATTGAGGTGAAATGCGTTGAATAACATAACAAACTATAACATAGCATAACATAACTTAACATAACATAAAACAACACAACACAATACAACACAACAAAACACCACAATACACAACTCAACACAACACAACATAGCATAACATAACATAACTTAACATAACATAAAACAACACAAAACTACAAAACATAACATAAAATTACATAACATAACGCAACATAACACAACATAACATATTATCATAACATAACATAGCATAATATAAGCTAACATAAAATAACATAACATAACAAAACATAACATAGCCTAACATAACATAACATAGCATAACACAGAAAAATAAAACAGAACACAACAGTATCAGTAACAGTAAAGCATACATTTAGGAGGCATATCCGGCCCAGCCATGTACATGTATGGCATTTGTATTGGTTTCACTTTTGAATTGATTTTTTCGCTGTATGTTAAACTAATTTAAAATTTAAGAAATTATCTGCATATCAGCATTAAAATACCTTTCTAATGATATATAATTATTTATACCTTAAGAGTATAGTTTAGCCGTAAAAGGGGTGTAAAGGAAACATGATTGCCTATTTATATAAAAGATATTGGTTGTAATTTTCAATATTTATAATAAGAAAATTTAATGTCGACTTTTGTCCAGCTAGCTTGTTTTATTCGAATCACTTTTCGTTGTCGGCATTTTGGCAATGGAAACGGGCCTTTGGTAAAACGTGAAGCCTGTCGCCAAGGGGTATCCTCTGGATCAACACCTCGATGATCAGACTCTCTAGCAATATCGTGGTGGCATAAAGGCCACCTACAGGCTTAAAAGAAATGGATGTTCGTATGATACTGATTGGGGCGTGGCAGAGGTTTTGACAAAACAAATCCCGCCCTACCACAAATCCAATCCTATCCTGGTAGAGGAGCATATTCTCAACATCAGTCTACCTTTACAAATGAGTATCTGCCTTGTTTTTATTAGAATTTGGTAGTAGTAGAACAATTTTCTAGACAACTGTGATACGAAATTATTAGCCAATTTTGAGATTGTGTCGCCATTGACGCAAACACAATTCTAAAGGATCGCTTTTTAATAAACAGTAAAATCTCCGAAATAGCAAATTAAAATTTGGTCAAATCAAAGCGTCCTCAAGAACTGATTACCAAAAACTACATTTCGTTTTGCATTCCTGTATATGAATCGAAGAGTTCTAGGCTCATTTAAGCAACTAATTGTTCAAAACATTTGCAGTTCAAAAAGCTATCTTAATTTAATTTAATTTAAATGCGGTAAAATTCTGAATAGGTACAG